GGTTTTAGAATAAAAAATGTATTTATAATTTATAAACAAATATTCCTATATCCTATTTCTATGTCCTCGATATACGTAAAAATTATTAACGACGAAGGTGTAGTAATAATATTGGGCTGGCAACTAAGTAATTGCCGATTTGTTCTATGAAATAAAAAAATTTTTTTTACTTGAAATGAAGTTTAATCTGTAATGTATTTTCCATTATGTTCGATGAACTTTTGCCATCTCTCTGACAACTTGAAAATTCCACGCTCGTAGAAAGTCTGATCCTTTTCGGCCAAAAACTGAGTTAATTGAGATTTTACAAGCGTCATCATCATTAAAAGTTTTACCACGAAGGGAGTTGTCCAGGGATCGAAATAAGTGGTAATCCGATGACACGAGATCAGAGCTATATGGTAGGTGTGACATCGATTCCCAACCAATATCCATCAATTTTTGCCGAGTGGACAAAGACCTGTGCGGCCTAGCATTGTCCTGCTGGAAATGACACCTTTACGATTGACCAATTCTGGTCGCTTTTCCTTGACCGCTGCATTCAATTTGTCCAGTTGCTAACATTCATGGATAATAAAAAATAACAATAATAATAATAATAATATAAAATAGTAATAATAATATAGTAATGATATAACATTTACGGATATCATAAAAATGGGAGTGAAAGACATCTATAACGGAAATCGGCAATTACTTAGTTGCCAACCCAATATTTTATAAGTTTAACTTTCCACAATATGAGGTTTATAACGTTTTGTTTACAATCTATTGCAAAACGTTTTATCTACTTTCGCAATGATAACATTTAAACCCTAAGACCCCGCAAGTTACAATACGTTATTTTGAATCTCATAGCGGCTGTGAAAAGTGCATTCCGATAGTTACGTGTAGTAGTATGCGAACTAAAGGGAGTGTATGCGGGACTCTTGTTGGACTCACGGACCCTCTTTCGTAAAGATCTAGAACCGCGAACGTGATGACCGGTGCAGCTGCAGCTTTATACATATAATACTACTGAAATTTACTTTAATTTTCAGATCTTAGTCGTTTTGTTTAATTTACACAATGTCTGCAGGAAATTTAGGTGAGTTATAATTAATCATTTTGTAAAGATATAGGAAATAAAGATTTAAATTTGTAACGATAGCCTCTTAGAACTCGTGGCCAATTTCTCAATATTTTCTAGATATACATTCATTTAATATCGTATATATATATTGTATACATAAATTATATCCAACATTATTTGCTAAATATATTACTGTTATTATAAGTATATTAACGAACATACTTTTAAAACGAAGGTTAGTAATGTTATTATTAGTAATTAATAATTAGTAATGTTTTTCTATATGCGTATAATTAATTTATCTTACTCACACCATTACGTTTGCAGTACTGTTAAGTGTATCATAATGTAACATAAGCAACGTAACATAAGCAACTCTTCTATCGAAATAATCTTTTGCTTCGGCGACACTCTTCTCGGAAAAATATCCTGTTCCAATGTCCTCTAATACATTATTTGTATCCGCTAATTTCCCAGTAACATACATTGGTCCAGTCAATGGTACAAGAATTTCATTGCCTGCAAAGAATTATTTAAACAAATTAGATTAAGTAAGCTTCACGTGCCTTAACCTTAATCAATGGTTATACCGGAATTAGAAGAACTATTATACTATAAAATAAATATATTAGAGCTAACAAAAGTCTTACCGTTCATGGCAGGATTAATTTTATCAAGGCACGATCCAGACTCCTGAAATTTACTTTGATCAACTTTTAGCGTTTGCAAGGAGCCTTGAAAGACTTCGAGCTCTTGATCCAGACGCTGTTTCAAAATTATGAGATGATTCTGACATCGAAATTTCCGACATTTTCTAATACTTTTTGTAAGCGCAAAATTATCTTATACTAAATAATCTTTGAATACACACTTCGACACTACACCTGTGCGACCAAAAACGGTCAACACTGGGCCCACTGACAACCACAGAGTATTTCACAAGGGAAGGGATGCAACACGCAGCTGCGGTGTTTTTATTAGAAATTTCTACGCGCATACGTGCAAAAGTGCATGTATGTATATGTACACACCATTTTAGAAGTGAATATAGAGCCTGTAGCGTTAATTACATACGCAAGTTGAATATAATAAACAGACAAAAATTAAGAATAAAGAAATTTCGATTGTAGCTTTATTTCCAAACGATTAAAGATTAAAAATCTCTTTCATCCACAATTAATAACGCATATTGTAAATATATGTATGTATATATGCTGCATGCTTTAAATAAAGAATGAAGACTGTATTGGTTGATTGTATGGGACTATGAAAATGTACTCAAATTTGTAATTCTTTTATTCTTGATATTACATTGCTATAAAGAATATAAAACTTTATATCTAATGTAGAAACCTAGAAATTGTTGTTTAGTTGATTATCAACCATTAATGGATAATATAGTATACATAGTATATAGTATAGTATATATATAGTATAGTATATACATATAGTAAATAAAAGATAGTATGTAATGAAACTTGTTACTCAATAACACAGCAAACATAGCACTTGTTGAGTAACATGTTTTTCACATTTACTTGTATCAGTGATGGAAGAGTCTCAGATTAGTGTGGACTAATGCAATTCTGCGGAATTCACAAGTGTCTAATACTTCATCATCGTCTGTAAAACCAGAAGGACTTGCAATATATTTTACACCGCTCTGCAATTAACAAATATTAGATTGCGTTGTCTTGAACAAACAAATAATGCAACAAACAATTACATACCAATGCTGCTCGTTCCACACTGTCTTTAAATGGGAAGAAGCCATCGCTACTTAAAGCAATGTCATTTGCCATCTTGATCCATTCTAATCTATCACTTTCAGAAAGCAGGTCTGGACTTTTAACAAACAGATTTCTCCACTCAATATAATTCATGACTTTCCCAATAGATCCATTTAGATAATTATCAATAGCGTTTGCAACATCTGCTCTTTCTATACCCTTGTGAAACTTCATGTTAATAACTTTAGGATGCTGACGTAACCACCTAAAAAACGGGCAATTATTAAATACGTAATTAAACATTCAAAATAATACAAGTAACTAAGTATGTTTTAAAAAAATATACCATTTATCGGCTTTATCACCAGCAAGCCTTGTACATTGAATTCTTGATTGTTGTCCTGCACCAATTCCAATTACCTGTCCATCTTTAGCATAACATACTGACTTACTTTGTGTATATTTCACAGCTATAGTAGCCACGATTAAATCCCTTATCGCATTATCAGGTATATCTGGGACTTTTTTAGTTACTATATTAGCAAACGTATCTTTATTAATAACAATATCATTGCGCTTTTGTTCCATAGTTAAACCAAACAGAACTTTCTGCTCCATTGAAGATGGCACATAAGTAGGATCAATCTGAAGAATGCAATAAGCACCATTTTTTTTCTTTTTTAAGATTCTTAATGCACTCTGTGAATAACCTGGCGCAATAATTCCATCAGACACATCTCTAAAAGTTTATTTATATGAATATAAATAGTGTAAATTCTTTTGTTTAAAAAATAATATCATATTTTGTATTACCTAGATATAAGTCTAGCTGTAATTTCATCACAAGGATCTGATAATGCTATAAAATCTCCAACACTAGACATCCTATCTGAACCTCTTGCACGAGCATAAGCAGTTGCTAAAGGTGTTAAATGATCTATTAAATCATCCACTTGACATACTTTTGCGACTAGCATATCTAATGGTACGGCAACTGCTGCACCAGCAGGGCTAACATGTTTAAAAGATGTTGCAGCTGGTAAATTCAGAGCTGTTCTTAATTCCTTTACCAACTGATAACCATTTAATCCATCGTAGAGATTAATAAAACTTGGAGAACCATTTATTACAGTTAGTGGCAATTTGTCCAAAGTAGTATAAATTTGTGCTGGTTTCTGGTGCGGATTCATTCCATATCGTAATGTTAGTTGAGAAACACCACTACTATATTGTTTACGGAAATAATCTGAGATAGCATTGTCATATTCTGCTGTGTGAGTAAATGCTTTGAGAGCTAATATTTCCCTAAAAATGGTAAATATAATTTTAAAATTATATCGGAGGATAGAAAAGCATTTACTCTATTATTAAGATTTCTACATACCTAGTTTTCAAAGAAGTATCTTTATCAGCTGATGTTTCCATTTCTACTCTTACTTTGTCATAATCATTAGGGTCACATACAACAGTCACTCTATTATGATTCTTGGCTGCAGCAGTCAATAAAGTTACTCCATCAATATCAATATTTTCTACTGCATTTTCGATTGTAACATCAGGTCTTGAGACATNTGTACTCAAATTTGTAATTCTTTTATTCTTGATATTACATTGCTATAAAGAATATAAAACTTTATATCTAATGTAGAAACCTAGAAATTGTTGTTTAGTTGATTATCAACCATTAATGGATAATATAGTATACATAGTATATAGTATAGTATATATATAGTATAGTATATACATATAGTAAATAAAAGATAGTATGTAATGAAACTTGTTACTCAATAACACAGCAAACATAGCACTTGTTGAGTAACATGTTTTTCACATTTACTTGTATCAGTGATGGAAGAGTCTCAGATTAGTGTGGACTAATGCAATTCTGCGGAATTCACAAGTGTCTAATACTTCATCATCGTCTGTAAAACCAGAAGGACTTGCAATATATTTTACACCGCTCTGCAATTAACAAATATTAGGTTGCGTTGTCTAGAACAAACAAATAATGCAACAAACAATTACATACCAATGCTGCTCGTTCCACACTGTCTTTAAATGGGAAGAAGCCATCGCTACTTAAAGCAATGTCATTTGCCATCTTGATCCATTCTAATCTATCACTTTCAGAAAGCAGGTCTGGACTTTTAACAAACAGATTTCTCCACTCAATATAATTCATGACTTTCCCAATAGATCCATTTAGATAATTATCAATAGCGTTTGCAACATCTGCTCTTTCTATACCCTTGTGAAACTTCATGTTAATAACTTTAGGATGCTGACGTAACCACCTAAAAAACGGGCAATTATTAAATACGTAATTAAACATTCAAAATAATACAAGTAACTAAGTATGTTTTAAAAAAATATACCATTTATCGGCTTTATCACCAGCAAGCCTTGTACATTGAATTCTTGATTGTTGTCCTGCACCAATTCCAATTACCTGTCCATCTTTAGCATAACATACTGACTTACTTTGTGTATATTTCACAGCTATAGTAGCCACGATTAAATCCCTTATCGCATTATCAGGTATATCTGGGACTTTTTTAGTTACTATATTAGCAAACGTATCTTTATTAATAACAATATCATTGCGCTTTTGTTCCATAGTTAAACCAAACAGAACTTTCTGCTCCATTGAAGATGGCACATAAGTAGGATCAATCTGAAGAATGCAATAAGCACCATTTTCTTTCTTTTTTAAGATTCTTAATGCACTCTGTGAATAACCTGGCGCAATAATTCCATCAGACACATCTCTAAAAGTTTATTTATATGAATATAAATAGTGTAAATTCTTTTGTTTAAAAAATAATATCATATTTTGTATTACCTAGATATAAGTCTAGCTGTAATTTCATCACAAGGATCTGATAATGCTATAAAATCTCCAACACTAGACATCCTATCTGAACCTCTTGCACGAGCATAAGCAGTTGCTAAAGGTGTTAAATGATCTATTAAATCATCCACTTGACATACTTTTGCGACTAGCATATCTAATGGTACGGCAACTGCTGCACCAGCAGGGCTAACATGTTTAAAAGATGTTGCAGCTGGTAAATTCAGAGCTGTTCTTAATTCCTTTACCAACTGATAACCATTTAATCCATCGTAGAGATTAATAAAACTTGGAGAACCATTTATTACAGTTAGTGGCAATTTGTCCAAAGTAGTATAAATTTGTGCTGGTTTCTGGTGCGGATTCATTCCATATCGTAATGTTAGTTGAGAAACACCACTACTATATTGTTTACGGAAATAATCTGAGATAGCATTGTCATATTCTGCTGTGTGAGTAAATGCTTTGAGAGCTAATATTTCCCTAAAAATGGTAAATATAATTTTAAAATTATATCGGAGGATAGAAAAGCATTTACTCTATTATTAAGATTTCTACATACCTAGTTTTCAAAGAAGTATCTTTATCAGCTGATGTTTCCATTTCTACTCTTACTTTGTCATAATCATTAGGGTCACATACAACAGTCACTCTATTATGATTCTT